AATGTAGGTTTTCACATTTATTCCAAATTAAAAAAAAATCGGATCGTTCTTGCTCGAGTTATCAAAAAACAAACAAAGTAAATCGGTCCCGGGTCAAGGTCTTACCATGATTACTACTGTAATAGCTTATTTGCTATGTGTGAAATTCGCTAAAAATACCTATAAAAATGTTATATTACTTCTTAAAATACTGTACACGGGATATCAGACCGCTCAAAATAATCCAAAAGTGACCCGTAGTTGCTGTTGGTAACTCAAAATAAAATTATACCGGGGGACCCATGCTCAAATTGTGCATTTTTATAGGTTGTAAAACTTAATTCCAAGGTAAAAATAATGAAAAAAATACTTTACACAATAAAGAATGAAGAGTTTTTTTTTACCTACTTCTCAACCATGTTGCAATTATAAAAAAGTAACCTATTTAAAATTTATTTTCATAAACTGTTTTGTCTGTCTCTTATTTACAATCTGACTGTGGCTAAACATTCAACTAACTGGATTAGCTCTTGAATTATAATTATTCATATATTTATAAAGAAAGATGGTTAGCAACACCGGATTATAGAAAGTGAACTCTAGAAATAATTTAAACACAAGGGGGGCGAAGTCCAGAAATTGCATTTTACGTTACCATTCGCAGGTGCTTTGAATCACATATTTTAAAATGACACCTCGATCTTGAAAATTGGGTCAGAAGGGTGGGAAAAAAGGGATGTAACAGAGAAACCCATTATTGTATTAAGAATATAGATAGAAGATATATAGAAACATGGCAACGTTAAATACACTCTAAACTCGGACTATTAGTGTACTTTTTGTGTGTTTATTTTAGTAAAATCTTTGTTTTGAGTACTATACGAAACGTTCGTTTAATATTCACAAATAAACACTGAATCTTATTTTAAAACGTCTACTGTATAAGGTTTCATAAATTTATTGCAAGCTGAAGTTTAAACAAACAAGTTTAAACAATTCAGCTTTTAAACTTGTGCGATACGTTTACCCAAAATAAATTAGTGTTTAAAGTTTTTACCCATATTCGTGTAAGGATCAACAATATATTTCTTAACCCGATATACAAAGTGTTGCATCCATTGTGAATATAGTATATGATAATACCAAATAGTGGCCTCTCTTACATTTCCAAATCTATTTCACACACATTGTCCACACACTGATGATGGGACCTGTAATGGGGTTGTGTTACAGAGTGCCATTAACTTTACAAGAGCAATTAGCTGTCCCCGGAGGTCGATGTATTCTTCAGGAATATTACAGTTATAAATCCTTGACATTGATTGTGGAGAATAAACACAAAATATTGTGTAATGTGTTGAGTTGCTGAACAGTTAAGTCGAATTTATTGATATAATTGAAACAATGAGGTATTAAATAAAACACCGAAATTGTTACCCGTGTTTTATTATACTTGTTGTTGAGTTTTAAACAGAGTCATTTGTTGATACAAATAATATCAAATAATTATACCTACCTTGTACATTATTGTCCTAAACGCTTGATTAGATACAATTCAATTAAAGACGAATTTTACTGCCAAAGAGCAACATTTAGAATGTAAAATCCGAGTTGCAATAAATAGCAGCTGATGAGGAACCTCAAATTATTGTGTAATCTGATAATTGAAGAATACCCTAGTTTTTCGTAAAGAAGATTAATTTAAAGCTGAAAATAATATAGCAATTATTCTTATTAAAATAACTAATTTTGTTAGTATTTAGTTGAAATACAATAGTTATTGGTTGAATTGCTATGTATAAAAATATCTGAACATTTTTTCAATATAAAAATCCCCTAACACAAGATTTGCCCTAATTACTAATTACTAAATCCATCAAATACAGCATGTTTCTATAATGTTTTGAAATTATAAAAATGCTAATTCCAAACAAAAAGTATTAAGTTCCATTGAAACTATAAATAGAAAATATTTCTGAAAAAGTTTAAGGGGATATTTGAGTGAAAATCCAACTAAGTAAACGTAAAGTCTACAGGCTTGATGTGCTAGGGATATTTTCATTACTGCAATAGACTGCAAATGTGTATTCAAATATTTCTCCATACTACGGTATATAGTACAGGTAAAATAGGGTTTTATAAACAACAAAATTTGTACATTCATCAAATTTCACCTGTGAGTTACTAATAATATTAGAAATGAAGATCCGATGAGTCCCCAAAATTTTGGGCGTCCTAAGGCCCTTTTTGGGGCCCTTTTTGTTCAGAAGGGCCCTTGTTCCTGAATAATTTTGTTTTTACGTTTAAGGTCGAGTGAGGTGTGGTTTTCGATGGTTTTAGTTATTTTAAATCGATTGGGAGTAGTTTTAAGTGTATTAAACCACATCATACAGGGTGTTTCGAAATATTATTACTTTTTACGATATTTAAACATTTATTCATAAAGTGATAAAATTAGTTACCTCCATTCTCTATATAAAAGGGGATTATTGAAAATAATTCTAATTCTTTACTACGTAAGGGGAAAGGATCACAAGGAGTAACAGAAAATATTCAATACCCCCGTCATAGCAAACCTGCAGACCTAGCGAATTTCCGTTTTACTTACTTGATTTTCAATTAAATCTAAAATAGCATTGCATTCGTTTAACGATTACCTAGGTTTGCTGCTACAAGGAGGCTAATAAAGTGTGTTTATAGTAAAATATTAATAGCCTAGTATAAAACAAATAAATTTGACAAGTTTGAACAAAATATATCTATTAACAAACAAACAAAATCATTTTACACTATTCTATATAAGAATAACATGGGAATTTTAAATTTAGTATTTATATTCGTAACTAATAACCATACAAAAACACGTTATATACTAAATTATTTGTTTTTAAGCTATTTAAAATGTTCTAGAGAAAAATTGGGAAACTTTGTGTTTTGAGGGTAAAGTAAATAAGAAAACCCAATTTTTACCCCATAAACCTCGTTCCCACTGTTCAGGACAAAAATGCTTGTACCGACAATGCTGCTCTGATGTCTTAGTGCTGTCCTGGTCGTCATAACCACGAAATATAACCGTACTTGTATTGATTGAAAATAAGTTTGAGGAACTTAAGATACAAGTTGAAAACGTCAGTATGTATGAAAGGTGTTTTTGCACCACATTGTTCGTGCTTTAAGATTGGTGTTGCCTGTTCTGCAATATGCAAGGTGGTTTGTAAAGGGGAATCCTGCTTGAACACCAACTTGGACAAAATCAGTAAAGATGGACAAGTTGCTAAGAATAATAAAATTGTTAATGAATCGTCTGAGAATAATTATTGTGATGATGAAATTGTAAAGAGAGATACTACGGAAATTGTAGAAAAATAGCTTTAGTTTAAGTACTTCATTTTAATATGTAATGTAAGGTTTTATACAAATACAATTGTTTTAATTTTTAATAAATGTAAAAAAATAACTTAAATAACTACCTAAGAAAAATACATATCAATTTGAAATTGGTCTTAATAATAGATTTGCATAAAAAACACGTTGAAAGATTATTCACACCACCTTAAAAGTTGAAATTTTTGCTTAGTAACCTATGTAATTATGTTATAGTGTAAAACTTAATGCATCCCCTTTTAGCGAACATCCCATATAGGAGATAAGCTATTACCGAAGATCTTATGGTAAAACATAGACCCGAAACCGATTTACGTTTTCATTTCGATGCCCCCAGAAGCCTAAAGCACCATCCACTCAAAATATTATATATGTGTTTATATACATATATATAATATAATATATCCATGTTATAGGCTATACGTGTCCGTAAACATGATAACTCGAGTAATTTTGGTTCAGTTTTAACGAAACCGGCATAATCGGTCCATGGAACAAGTTTTAGGTGGTAAAAATTTGTAATCTTTGACCCTCAAAAGACAAAGTTTCCCAATTTTTCTCTAGAGCATTTTAAAGAGCTTAAAGAATACAAATAATTTAGTATATTAACGGGTTTTTAAGTGTATTAGTTACGAATAAAATTCAAAAATTGTAAATTTAAAATTCTATGTTATTCTTAAGGAGAATAGTGTAAAATGATTTTGTTTGTTTGTTTATTGATATATCTTAATACAACTTGTCAAATTTATGTGTTTTATACTAGGCTATTAATATTTTACTATAAACACACTTTATTAGCCTCCTTGTAGCAGCAAACCTAAGTATTCATTAAACTCAATGCTATTTTAGATTTAATTGAAAATCGGGCAAATGAAAATTCGCTTAGTCTGCAGGTTTGCTGTGATGGGGGTATTTAATATTTTCTCTTACTCCTTGTGATCCTTCCCTCTTATATAGTAAAGAATTACAGTTATTTTCAATAATCCCCTTTTATATAGAGCATGGAGGTAACTAATTTTATCACTCTATGAATAAGTTTAAATATCGTAAAAAAGTAATAATATTTCGAAACACCCTGTATGGAGTGGTTTAATACACTTAAAACTAGCCCCAATTGATTTAAAATAACTAAAACCATCGAAAACCACACCTCACTCGACCTTAAACGTAAAAACAAAATTATTCAGGAACAAGGGCCCTTCGGAACAAAAAGGGCCCCAAAAAGGGCCTTAGGACGCCCAAAATTTTGGGGACTCATCGGATCTTCACTTCTCATATTATTAGTAACACACAGGAGAAATTTCATGAATGTACAAATTTTGTTGTTTATATTGAGTGTTTTTGTATTATTTTACCTGTACTATATAGGGGGATAAAGTAAAAAAGGGTACTTGGTGAACAACGTTTATAATTTTGGATTGAATTTATTATAATTTCTTTAATTGAATTTGATGTGAATTGGATCGACGACTAACTCCCAGAACGACGTTGACGTCTACAGGTAGCTGAGCTACCAGGGCTTGGACCCACAGCAGACCAGAAGTATATGCTCCTAGTGAGCAGGAGCTTCGCGAGACGTGGCGCTAGTCACCACAGCCATATACACTTGGACTTGGAAAACGAGCAGAATACGTTACCTTGTCCTCTGAGATTGGCTTGAGGGTATTGGGGTCGTCGGGAGAGAGAGGGTTCTGGTGTGTGGGGCGACCCCAGGACTCTTCTATCCTCAACTGTATGCCAGCTAGCGCCGCGGCCTCCTCCTTGCTGCAAGGTAGTTCTCCCGTTACTACCAGCTTCAGCAACTGTAACAACAACAAACACTGTACCAATGACAACAACAGTGTAATTATCAGAGGGTTCTGGGGTGTGGGCGACCCCAGGACTCTTCTATCCTCAACTGTATGCCATCTAGCGCCGCGGCCTCCTCCTCGCTACAAGGTAGTTCTCCCGTTACTACCAGCTTCAGCAACTGTAATAACAACAAACACTGTACCAATGACAACAACAGTGTAATTATCAGAGGGTTCTGGTGTGTGGGCGACCCCAGGACTCTTCTATCCTCAACTGTATGCCACCTAGCGCCGCAGCCTCCTCCTTGCGGCAAGGTAGTTCTCCCGTTACTACCAGCTTCAGCAACTGTAACAACAACAAACACTGTACCAATGACAACAACAGTGTAATTAGCAGAGGGTTCTGGTGTGTGGGGCGACCCCAGGACTCTTCTGTCCTCAACTGTATGCCAGCTATCGCCGCAGCCTCCTCCTTGCGGCAAGGTAGTTCTCCTGTTACTACCAGCTTCAGCAACTGCAACAACAACAAACACTGTACCAATGACAACAACAGTGTAATTAGCAGAGGGTTCTGGTGTGTGGGGCGACCCCAGGACTCTTCTATCCTCAACTGTATGCCATCTAGCGCCGCGGCCTCCTCCTCGCTACAAGGTAGTTCTCCCGTTACTACCAGCTTCAGCAACTGTAACAACAACAAACACTGTACCAATGACAACAACAGTATAATTAGCAGAGGGTTCTGGTGCGTGGGGCGACCCCAGGACTCTTCTGTCCTCAACTGTATGCCAGCTAGCGCCGCAGCCTCCTCCTTTCGGCAAGGTAGTTCTCCCGTTACTACCAGCTTTAGCAACTGCAACAACAACAAACACTGTACCAATGACAACAACAGTATAATTATCAGTGGGATAGATCTCAGGGATCGAGCACGGTGGTCCGAATAATGACACACTCCTGAACTGGCCTGCAAGCTCTCCGGACATTTTCCTATGATTTTTCTTGTGGGGATACATCAATGATAAGGTGTACACGCCACCATTACCAGATAGCATACCTGAAGTCCAGCAACGGATTACCAAAGCTTTTGAAACATATAGATCAAGACACTCTTTTCAGAGTATGGCAAGAGCTTGACTACAAGATTGACATCTGTCGTATCACAAGGGGTTCCCATATCGAACATTTTCAGTTCTATGTATTGTGCCAAAACCTTTTGAGTTTTTCATAAGTTGTAACCATTTTAATTCTTTGTTAACAAATAAAACTATATTTTATGTACCATGAAACCATGAACATAATTTGTAATAACCCTTATTATACGACCACCTTTAAACAATGCCTCAGCGATAGAAGTAACTGTCGCCCGGGATGATATGAATCAATAACTATTGACGACATTAACGTAAACCCCAGCACATCTATTGGCTGGAAAGTACTAAATTATTTACTGCACAACACAATCATATGAAAACATAAAATTGAAAATTGTATAAACGCATTAGGTGAGAGAAAATTCATCACAAAAAGAAAGAATCTCTAATACTACATGCCTTCAATTTAAGTGGAGGTTAGTTTTTTATAGCATTGCTAATAACAGCCTTTATTTTAGATAAATATGGAATTTTATTTCCACTATGAATGATGAAAAAACGAACAGGATCTCTGGTGAAGTGACATCTTATGCTTAACCACACCACTATCACAAAGACCGCCATAAGTTTATAGCGCTAATGGTTCTTATTTATTTATGTAGCAGTTAACAGGAACGCACAATGTATGGATTGTGGATGGACGTAGGCTACTCCAAAGCTGCGGTGGTTGCATTGACGACAAGGAACGTTGCGTTGACGTAGCGTTCCCCTCACCACACCCACACACAATACACAATACACATATCAAACATACCACTCGCCATTGTGGCTATAATTAACTTCCCTCCACTACAATCAATATTAATTAATGCACCTCCCTTGTGTGAAAACGCAACATTACGATATGAAAACACAATTTTCTTTTTACTTTCTATCTGGTGCAGCAATACACACGCTTTGCATGATTGGAAAATGAGTTTTTACTTTTTAGTCCACGGGACTAAACAAGAAAATTATTTTATCAAAAGTTCACATTCAAGCTCATGAAGTGAAAGATCTATAAATATATATCTATATCTATAAAGATCTATAAAATAAAATACGCATTGAAATATTTGCAATTACATTTGAAATCACTGCGTGGGAAACTATACCATGTTAAGTAAAATCTTTTGATAAAAACCCATTTTACTAAGGCTTGGGTTCAATAATTTTTGTCAAATTGAGCTAAAAATAGTGTCCGCATGGAAAAAGGAATTCGTTGGTAAAAACAACGCTTTCTTGATTAATAAGCAATCGCAACATTTATTAACAATGTCCAAGCAATTAAGGCAAGAATTGAATCAGAGTTCATAGTGTTTATCTTGAACAAAGATAAGTTCCTCAAATTCATTTTGGAAATATGAAAATTTACAATTTAGATTTTTAATTTATATTGGCACCGACTAATATATTTCGCTGAATATATTTTCCTGAACCTACTGTCCTAATTTGTATATAACAGAAGATATATTTTAGTTTACTTAGTGTTATTTTACAATTTGTTTACTTTGATTCTATTGTGTACTCAAGTAATCATAGGTTTAACATCTATAATAACCTCAATAATTTCATAATCCTCAGTGTTTATAACATCATGACAATTTTTCGCTTGATACAGGGTGATTCTAAATTTTGAGTTAACTTTAGAATCTCCTGTTTCAATTGATTCACACCCTGTGATGATAGGTTGTATAGTTTTTAATTTATATAGTTTTAAAATTGTAACAATAATTTAGATCACCCTGTATTCAAATAGACTGCACACACTCACCATTATATTGTAATATTGTCACATTAATTAATTAACTGGTAGGAATATATTAATTTTTCTATCCATGTTGGTGTAGTTGTGTGAGAATGCTGTTTCAGTTATCAGCTGAATATAGAAGTGTAGCAGTATGTGACCTCCATTCGCCTACGATGGATCAGCCACAGCTCCGGATTATCTGCATCTACCCAGTTAAAAAATTTGATCCAGGAATCTAGATACTTTTGTTCTCGTCCTTATCTCAGTATTAAATATAACCTTGTACGTGCATTTTTGTTTTGTTACAAACCACGCAAAAAAATGAAAAGTAGAAAAATAATTTTCGATTTTTTTTCAAGTATTTTACATCTAACATAGATCCCATTTTTAACTTTTAGGTTATCCAACTTGCGATCGGTCCAATGAGGGTTGAACTAAAATTTTAATTGTTAATTATGTCTATTAAAACACCCCGCTGGCTTTTTCAAAGCCACTAATTATTTTTTGCAGTTTTCTCGTTTTTAACTTCATAGTCGCCCGGCAGCCAATAACATCAACTGACATCCCCACAGAATGTATCACAGTTGTATAATTGCATTTTTTCGATTTCTAATAAAACTACAGTGGAATAACGGGTGGTTGGGCCTTGAATCTGTGTACAGTGGAAATCGACATTTCAAAGCATTTATTGCTTAAATCAATTGATGTTATAAACACGTAATTTCATATTGACTTTATTAATTTAAAAACTAAACTTGCCCAGTAGATACTATTTCACGTTGTAAACTACGGCCCAAATCAGCATCACAATTCACACCACTTAGTTTGTTCCAGTTATTATTGTATATCTTTGTAGCATTATATAAATTTGAGTACGGCAGGTTTAAACCATAGACGAGATAACACGTTTAGTGGTTTAATGAATGGACGAGGTAAGCGACACTTACCAGAGACCGCATGTTCTACAGTCGCATGGTCTGGTAATATGAACACGAGGTGTTTAATTACACACACACACACACACTTACACGCGCACGCACACACTCTACTTGTGGTATAAAAGGCACTGATGTAGTGGATGAGGTATGTGAGAATAATGAAAGTTTGTGATGCTTGTTCGTAAATGCCAAAAAGAAATCTATTTAAACGAGTTAAGTAACATACAACAAACAAGAGTGTTGTGCTGTGTTGTGTTGTGTCGTGGTCTATGAGTTGAGAGTTGGACATGTCTCGTATTACGGAAATGTACATGTTACCAAAGTACAGAACTGGAAGTGAGAGAATGCCCCAACCGGTAAATGTGTGTTATCAACAAAGTTATACATTATCTGACTGAGCTAGCGGCCACCGAGTGATTCTATGTAGTTAAAGGAGCTATAAAGTAAAACTGTACTAAACTATAGGAATAAAAATAACTGTTATTTATAAAATTGGTTTGTTTGTAGCATAATCAAAGTATACGGCATGCCATTTTCCGAAACTGCTGCGATCGTTCCTATTGTGTAATCGGAAATGAACCCACTAAATACTGTGACACAAACATCGGTGGAACAAATCAAGGACAATATAATATAATTCATAGTAGATCTACTGTGTGTACATCACTTTTACCTGAAAACAAAAGCGCTGTAGAATCAAACGCAAACATTCGCGGTAATCATAATTTTTGGCCTACAGCATGGAAATTACTTTTGATTTTACACAAAAGCGCTGTAGAAAAATCGCAAACATTCGCGGTAATCATAATGTTTGGCCTACGGTAAACACTTTACGTCAACTTGACGTTTTGACACACTCAACATTGCTGTGGAACAAACTACTTCCGTACGCCTCCATCATTTCTAAAATAAATTTTTATCCATACTTTTTTTGTAAGTAGTTATTCTCTGGTGATTTCCTAATCTTGAAAACCACACCCAAACAGCTTGGTAGATTATTTTATCAATTTACATAACTTGGTGTTGGGATTAAACCTCTCAACTTACGCGAAACGTTCGCCGGAGCAGACGATAACTTACGTTTGACCTTTCCTTAGGTAGACCGCGACAGATCATGAGATTAGTTCCACTGCAAACTGCTAAACGAGAACTCGTCACTCATACAAAGTGATATTTTATATCTCATTAGAGTAATAA